GCGGTGGCCACCCGAGGGCGCGACACTTGACAGGGCTTGGCGGCACGGCTGGTCGTGCCAGCGGCGCGGGCAGCCGTGGTTGCTGCGGAGGCTGCGTGGATCCGGCTAGGCGTGGGGCGGCGGGGACGGCGAGCGGCTAGTGCGAAGGTTCGTGGCGGCGGCGGCTATCACGCCGCGGTAGGGTGCAGGGGGCCGAGGGCACCAATGGCGGGGTCGTGCGCGTGCACGCTTAGGCCGGCCCCTGGCTTGGGGTGGCTGGTTGCTTCCGGCCGTGTTCATGGCGGCCGGTGCGCTAGCCGATCCGGTGGTAGCGTGCCCAGCAGATTCAACGCCTGGAGTTCGGCGGGCGGCGTGGGATGGGCAGTGGCCTGGTGTGGCTGCTGCTCTGGCCGTGGATGTATCCACGATAGCTTGGCAGGTCGGATGCGGCGGCGGCTGACATGTTTCGGCGTTGGTTCGTCCGTAGGCGGCGTGCGTACCTTCGATTCCTCTCCCCGTTGTCCATGCGCCACTTCCTTCGAAGGGCTGGACTTCTCCCAGCTGCGGTTCATCGCTCGTCTCGCGCCCGACAGCACGACCGAGCTCGTCCCGTGCCCGGCAGCAGGACCGTGCTCGTCTTGCGCCCAGTAGCAGGACCACGCTCGTCTCGCACCCGACGACAGGACGGGCCGATGGAGGCCAGTTTGGCCGGCCTATTGGGTCTCGGCGTTGGGGGCAGCTCAGGGGTGCTAAAGGCGGGGCCTTTCCACTCATCTCTTTGGGTGGGGTGGCGCTGGGTGGGGTGGCGCTGGGTGGCGAGTGAGGTGGCGTCAAGGTCTTGGATGCCGGGGCGACGGCCCTGGTGGTGGTGTCGCGGTGCTCATGGGCAAAGCCCGTGCCTTGGTGCTGCCTGGTGACCATGATCGTGTGGGCGGCATGGTCGCCGGGGTGTGGCGTTCGGTGGCGATGAGTATTGGGCCGGGGTAAAAACCTGTTCTATCTTCGGACGGACTGGCGGCGGCGAAACTCGTTCCCTTCTTGAAGGCGTCGTCGCAGTCTTCATTGCCCGTCGTGTTGCTCTAGGGGAAACTCTGACCCTCGGGTCGGGCGGTGGCGGCGCTCCGGTGTCGTATCCTTTCTGAAGGCACCGCCTTGGAGCCTACGGGTCGTCATATGCGGCTTCATCTCTTTGCGGTGGCGTGTTCACGGTCGAGGACCCGACTGCTCTTGTAGTGCTTAGAGTGGTGTTGCTGCGCTCAGTGCATATGTGTCTTGCCTTGGGTGTGTGCGAGTGTTGTGATGGCGTGCAATTTTTCCCGGGTTGTTGTTGGTCGATACTTTATAGATAAAGCGGGGCGAGAGCCTTTTTCGGTAACTTGCCGACATGGTTTTGCTATGCCAAGGCTAACACCATATTTTCCAATTTAGGTATCGGGGTATGGCATTTTGGGGTAAATTCATAGTTGAGGATTTAGTTTGTAGTTTTAGGGAAAATCGTTTGCTTGGATAAATATAATGGGGTTTGAATAATACTCGGTTTTCACTTGATGTTTCATTATTTGCCTGATGTTCTTAGTTGGCAATGATTATTTCAAAGGGTAAGGAGGCATGCACCGGTTTGAAATGGCACCATCCAGTTATGCGAGTGAGAAGGGTCTCTTTTCTTTTTCTGGACACAGTGCAATAGGAGATCGTCATATATTTTTTTCTTTTTCTGGACACAGTGCAAATAGGAGAGTGCTCCTCTTTGCACATTTGTGAGAACCATTACAGGTTATCATAAAACATGCGGTTATGTGAAAAACAAATCGGGGTTTCTTTCTTGATATTTAAGTCAATTCAACGGTGGGATATGACTACCATAATCATCACAATCTGTTATAGCGGCCTAGTACATTCCTTGCGTTATGCGTACATGTTTGACCGATGCTCGTTAGGAGCGGCAGGCCGGGGAGCAACCTGAAAGGAAAGCCAAACGAAAAGGCAGACGCTTGTGTGTGTCATCTCATTATTACAGGATTCAGCTCGTTGACGTAAACCAGGTCCTCATTTTACTCCAAGACCTTTTCGTTTTCGGTTCCATGGAGGCGGACGCCGAATCAATTTCTTAAACCGGAGGGGGTACGTTCATGGCGGCCCTCAACCCCACTGAAACACACCGCCATCACCCAATCAAACCGCTCAATCACCCCCACAACACGCCAGCCCCTAATCAACCGCTCGTGAGCCATCATGCACACTGGACGCCCGAGAGACCCCGAGAGCGTTCGGTGCAACGACGCACCAACTCACTCACCACTTCATCCATCCTTTGACGCCAAGATAAAACGATGGAACAAAGACGGAGCAGCGCCCACTCAGTGACTGCCGGTAAGACCCAGAGCAGGCGCAGCAGCCAGCAGATCAGATGTGCCCCACCCGACAACGGTCACCACCGCAGCCAGGCAAGCGGTCCGTCGACCTTCCGTTCCATTACCACCCCCCGGGATAGAAAGGCTGGCTGGAAAGCGAAGGGGCGAACGAACAGCAGGATGATTGCGCTACGCACCACGGCTCTGGCCGTCGCACTCGCAGCCCGCAACGCAACGACAGCACGGCCCGCCGGTCAACCATGCGCACTAGCGCCGATCGAGCCGGTCCAACGAGCTTCGCCCTCGCCATCATCGCGCGCCCACCCATCGGTCGTCGCCGGTCTCACCCGTCGCGGTTGGACGTGGATCCTCTAACTTTGCAATCCCTGCCATACCCTGCCTTTGAGTCACTGACAGGTGGGCCTCATGCTTTGTGAGACCCGTGTGTCAGTGACTCAAAGGTAGGCTTGGCCATGGCAGGGGATCCTCGTCCGTCGCGGTTGAGGTGAGCAGTGAGAGCCAGTGACCTTCTCCGCGGCGGAAACTACCGGCACTAGGCTAGGCTAGGCCAGGCGGCTTGCCTCCGAAGCGAGCGAGCGAGCGGCCGGCGAACATGCGAGTGGCGACCTCTGGGCCAGTGCTCACAGGCGTCTCTCTTCGGGGTCGGGTCGGGTCAGGTCAGGTGCCCACATCATGCGGTACTTGAAACTCAAGTGCGACGGACGGACGGACAACAGTAAGGCCAACTCCACCGCGCGACCCTATCCTGTCCGCCCCCGTCCGTTTGGGATAAAAGGGACAAAAGAGACGGTCCAGCGTGCGGGCGCAAACAAACTTTGTGTCCACTTTGTGTCCGCTTTCGACCCATCCCCGGTCCAAACTTGCGCTGGTTTTGGGGTGAAACGGACAGCGCGCGGACGGGCGGGACGCCC